GCCGCCGCTGCAGCCGCCGCTCGCGGCGCGCCCAGGACCTTCTTTCCCCAACAGAGGTCCCAAAGCGAAAAGCAGACCTATTTGGAAGTAAGGCGGGTAAAGTAAAACCGAACCCAAACGCACCAATCTGGCGTTCCCGGGCCTAGATTTCCAGGGTGCAACCTGGCCTCACCTAGCGTGGAAGGGAAGCAGGCTGGTGAGGTGTGGGAGCGGAGGCCTGGCTGGACCAGGATGCTCAGGGAGAGCCCGGGTTCAAGGCTTGTTCCTCAGTGGCCCAGGGAGGCGGGTATTAGCGCCCATTCTGCAGTACCAGCACACAAGAGCACACCATACCTGTATACATATATACATACATATGACGTCAAAAAGACCTGGGTTCCTCTTAGACCTGCATAACATCACCCCTGTCCCCATTAAAAAGTTAGAGGTGTTTTCTGCCTGCCTGCTTAAGCTGTGGCACCTCCCCGTTGCACTTCACTTGTCCCCGATCTGTCCGTTTCTTCCTTTGCCTGTTAGGCGCATCCCTTGTTTACCTGTTTAAAATAGTGAACCCTGTGTGCCAGCCTACCCGACTCCCTGACCTACACCCCCCTTGTTTGCAGCTAGGGAGGGGCAAGTTGCCCTGTCTCACTAAGGACTCCCTGCAAAGTTAGCTGCAAAGCTAAATTCATTTCCGCTGGCTTTCCTTTTGCCTGGAAAAGGGTGTCACATCACTTTGCAGGCCCCAGTGGGACAAAGACAACACAAAATAGTGAAGGAAGTGTTGACTCACAAACACCTTCTTTGGCTTCTATGTGGATGTTTTGTGTTTTGATGTCTAACCTTGGTGTCTAAAAGCCTTGGGGTATTTAAAGAGGTGTTTAAATGCATATCCACAAAAGACTAATAGTTCCTGAGCGAATACGTAATTTCTCTGTAAGTAATTGGAGCAAAGGCAATTTCTGATTAAGCAGAGAGTAACAGGGTGGCTTTGACCTTTGCCCCCATCCTTCCTGTTTATCATTCTGGAGTTGGTGGTTAGGGTTTACAGGGCAGCTCTGTATTGATTTATACAACTTGAAAATGACAGTCCCGGACTGCCTTTACCTGTACTAAGGAACACTTGCAGCCAGCACTGTAGAATCCTTTGCCTAGGTGAGAAAGGGGTTTTCCCCACAGGAATGCGGGCCCTGTATTCCACCTGTTCCCATTTCCAAGTGAGTGAGAACTCCTTTCTTTCATTCATTTTTCAACAAACACTGAGCACCTGCCTTGAAGCAGGCTTTGTGCTAAGTGCTGAGAGTTCAGAAATAAGTGGCATCCAGTCTCTGCCCTCAGGACCACTGGCTTAGCCCAGGAAGGACACACATAAACACAGAATCATAGTAAACTCTGGAAGCACAAGGCTGGGTATTAAACCCTCCTGAGGTGATGGTGGTCAGGGAAGTCTTCTTAGATAAGTTGAAAGTCTGAATTCGATTTTAAAGACTGCTTAGAAGTTGGCTAGAGCCAGGGGCCGGTTAGCTCAGTTGGTTAGAGCGTGGTGCTGATAGAAGTTGGCTAGGTGAAGGGTGGGGTAGGGAAATAGGAAAAAAGGCTCATGAGCCTTTACAAAAAATAAAGCAGGGTGAGCCTTTCCTTTTGCATACTGTGCCACGTGGGAGTAGTGGACATTATGGCAGAGAAAAGGGCACATGAAAAGCCTTGGAGCTTGCAGCCCACCTGGACTCCAGGAATGAAAGTCTGTGTCTTGTTCCTGAGAGGGTAAAAACTCCTTCATGTGCTCAGCTAAGGCTGCTGAGGCTCCCCGGGATTCTCAGATTTCCTTCTGCCTCCGATATTCAACCCTGAACTTTATAAAACTCCATTAAGCAAAATTACCTAGACAATCAAAGTTAGGCATGTGTCAAAGTTCATTAACCAGGGAAGTAGAAAGGAAATAATAGTGCCAATTCAAAGTGACTTGAGATGGGCAGAGATTTACATACAAAACCCTGTAACTAGTGTAGTTTAAGCTGCAAAGAATGCTTTTATTTCATATGTTCATAGAAATGTCTTCTTTTCCCTAGTTGACATGTGAAAGGTTGGGAGCTCAACAAATGCCAGGCAAAAACCATTCATTAGAAATAACAAGTAGTATTTTACTTGCTAAGCAAATATTTTAATTGCTGAGAAGCAAACAATGAGTAAAATATCTGTGGCTATGTATCAGACATACCAAATAACAACAATTTATCAGGGACTGTTAATCAGACATACTAGAGAGCAAGTTTTATCCCCTGACAGTATCAGACAGAGTCCAGTCAGTTCAGAAAGTGACACCAAGGAGGTATCAAATGGAGGTCAGTTAATAGAGGCCTTTTCTCTTTCAGTTATCAGTAAATTTTCCAAGCATATGAATTTTTCAAAGTTCACACTGCATATTTCTGTTTATGGATAAAATTTTTCTTTCTAAAAGCTCAGAAGGCGTGGATTGGTGGGAGTCCTAGAGAAAAGTGGCATGCAGAGTCCAGGTGGGCAGAGGCTGTGGGTGAGCATGCTAGTAGGGGTGGCCCTGCATGTGTGTGTGTATGTGTGCATTCATCTGTACGTGTA